GTTAGATAAAGTAAAAATGGAATAAATGAAAAAATATAAAATATATAAAAAATATAATGAGGCCGATTTAAACGTGCTACGATTCACGATTTTACTAGTGAGATTATGTAAAATTATATAACAAAATAGTTAATAAAAAAAGTATGTAAAGCAGATACCAAAAAATCGTGATACTAACATTTTTTAAATTATTATACGCAAACATATTGCGCACACCTGCAGACACTATTTTGACATCCGCAGTTGGGATAGCATGGCGCTGTCTCATGTGAGTTCCAGCAAACATTTCCAGGATAATAGCGTTTTTCTAAGACATTAGAAGTGTCTTCTATGGGGGTTGTTATAACACCAACAGTAAAGATCGCAAAGATTACCAAAAAGAGTACAAGAAAATTTTTCATTTTGCGTGTTTAGTTAGTCTATTTCATCAAATTTCTTCTTCTTTTATAATGAAATTTTAAATAATAAACTATCCAATCCGATAAGAAATCTGCTCAATAATCATAATTACTAAACAAATCTCATTACAGCATTAACAAGGAAAAGGCTTTCTAAAATTGTATTATCTATATAAATATAAATCACTGCACATATTAGTATTTTGTGAGAAAACACCATTACGCGTATACATTATTGAATCCAATTCTGATGATATAAAGTCTATAATAAGAAAATTAATAATCTTAATTCATAATACTGTAATCACCTCCGACATAAAGTAGTTCCCAATAGCACAATTTATTTATTAAAAATAAATCATCTAAATAGCAATTCATAGTCAAAATGAACTTATAATTTTGGTTTTATGAATGATAATAATGGCTACAAAATACGGAATAAGCAACTGACCTTTTTAAATAGTTATATTAAAAAAATTTTTAGTGAAGACCAAGGTGAGTTGCACGAGATTTTATAAATTTATTTGGGACGCCTATTTCCACCATGTTTTCGCATGACTTTCTGCTACATAAACATGAAGAACATATTGTCGTGATAAATTACGTAAATGGTGAAAATAGTAAATTTTCATGATGGAAATAGACGTTCCATTTATTTATCGGCAAAAGTCAGAGATACAGTTAGCGTGACTATGTAACGTTACTTGTTTTTGGCTTAAATTGCCCAGTAAATATATTGATCCGTTCCGAACATTTTAAAGGATGTTTATTGGATGTTCAGGTTATTATATATTTTTCATAAATCTTTTATCCATTTTTTATACGATAATTTTTAAATCAAAAATTTCCTATTTTTACATCCCGTACAAACATCGATATGAAAACAGTACAAAAATAAACCCTGTTCAGAAAATCGACTCCTTTCCGAACATTTTTTTGGACAATGCCTACAATAACTGAACAAACTTTTTTTATAGGGCCGTGAAATTTGATTTGAGGTCCCGAGTTTTAAAAAAAATCAAAATTTACAAAGTTTGGATAAGGGCACTTAAAATGTCTGATTACGTATATTACGACAATCATTGGACGATTCTACTGCGCCACTAAATCATATGTACGTAATTTTAGGCGTACTTTATAACCATATAGAATTTTCATTTACATAGTATATTAAACATCCCAGTGATGCGTATGCATATAAAGGCCCCAAAATTAAAATAGTTACATATAAGGGCCCAAATTTTGAAAAGTATTACAATCAAGGGTCCAAATTTATCGTAACTACGTAATTAGTTGATAAATGCAATAATTTTGTTTGACATATTACTTTTTAATCAGTATTGCATTTACTCTCTTAACGTCTTGCATGTAAAAATTATAACTACTTTTGCTAATTTTTAAATTTTCTCTGCGAATACAGATGAGTTTTTGCGGTTCTAAATATCTTTGATTAACGCATAGTAGCCTTCACAAAATATGGTTTCGCCAGTTAAATGGATATGTTAGTTTAGAACCGACAAAATTGATCTTAACCTAGTTGAGTTGTATCTTAGTTAAGAAAAGGTTTCATTAAATGAAAGAGTATTGTATAAAATGTGTATAAGGTAATATATATATACAGTGATAACGTGCGAAGAACTATTATCATCATAATGCAAAGTTATTTTGTCCTTAATTTTAAAAATTTTCAAAATAAGGGCCCTTATATGTAATTATTTTCATTTTGGGCCTTATATGTAATTTTTTCATTTTTTGGCCCTTATATGTATTTTCCCTATTTTAAAACCCTATTTTAAAATACAGATAATAAGTAAGAAACATTGAAGTTTGAGCTAAATAATATTGAAAAAGATTTGAGAATAAAGAATAATTAAATAAACATGAATCTAGTTCACGATGTTTCAATATATAAATGTATTTATGTATTTTTTTATAAATCGAAAATCTGAAGAAGTTTTATTAGGGAGAATAACCCTTTAAATAACTTTGAATAACATTTAAATAATTTCTTTACACTACTATTTCAGAATAACTTTTCTATCGTTATTGATTTTGTTTGACTAAGAAAACCTGTAAATTTTTATTCTTTGATTATGAATCATTCAAAGATACTTCCTTACTTCTTGCGGGTATTTAGAATCTTCTTATCCTTCTGTACGTCCTGTGCTTTACGCTAGGTACATTCCCTTAATGTTCTTAATTAATCAACTCTCACAGATAATCTTCCTTTCGTGCTTCTTAACCTCCACAAATAATACGTTCCTCCTAAAATATCAGCTTATATTGGCTCCCAATAGTAAAATCTCTCATAAACTTGATACTTCCATACAATTTACAAGTTGCCAAACAATTGGGCTCTACGCGACAATAATGCACGCATTTTAATCTTATTAATTCCACATTACTATATCGATGTATCAATAATAAAAAACATATAATAGAAAATAGAAAGTTCCATGAACGTAATACAAAGTTATGATACGTAATGAAGTATATTGTATATCTCTGATTAGACGGAGTCTGGCAATAATAAATGATAAACTTGAACCTCAAAATTTAGTTTCTATAAGATCCTTCAATAAAAAGTATGATAACTAATTATTTTAAAGATGGCATTTATTTATTTGACCGTGTGTAAATGTAATTTTTGTTTATTTAATCTTTTTTTGTTTCTATCATAGATGTTATAGATAGAAAATTTTTGGTTGTATTAGTTTTTACTTATCGATGTTACACTATATGTAATAATAATAGTGTATGAAAGTTATTACATAGGACGTGACTACCGTAAATTGTTGCATACAAAATCCACCCATATATCAGACCCACTCTCATTTTTACTAATTACAATTAATTACAATTTTAATGGATTCATTTTTCCATATATGTATATGAGTGATGCCAAGGCATGTAAGCAAATTTTGAGGTATCAATACCGATAAGGCGAGTTTGCCACTGGGAAAATTGTGATATGTCGTATTAAATCATTGTATACAATCAGTGTTCTGGTTGTCCTTATTGATGCCTAAATA